GTCTGTATATATTTGCAGATCCTCTGGAAGCTGGGAATGAAGACAAGGAAGCAGTGAGCATGGTGCCCAGGTGAATCTGAACATCACAGGCTATGAACACAATGGTGACTCCTGGAGGTCTCAGGTCCCAGGAGACGCAAACACTGCTGTATATTTGTGTTTCCTTCTTTCTACCTCATGAGAACAGGGTCTGTTTACTTGGTGCTTTTCCTGGGTTTGTACCTCTGTTTTCTTACCGTGTGTAGTTACCTAGAGTGCTTGTGGCCCAACGTGAGCGTCTCTGGTTTGCCTGCACTCATGTTGAAGGCTTGAGCTTTCCTGTGGGAGGTCACTGGGAGGAGATGCATAACCTCTTTCTTCATGTTAGGTTTCACTTTGTTGACTGGGGGATCCTGAGCAAGAAAGGTAACTGGGCTAAATAGGGAACTATATTAAATTATAACATTAGGTCCGTGGTTTCCCCGATCTCTTGGAGTCACCAATGCCCCAGAAAACCTTAATAAAAAGAGCCCTCCCTATGAATAATGTGGAAACAAATTCACTGGAGCTGCAGACACTGCATGCTTCCTGTTGTGCCCCTGCCCCCTGCATCCTCCTGGGAGCTCAGATAATCGCTCTTACCTGCAAGTCGTCACCCCGGTGCACGGAGCACTGCTGCTCTCTCACGCGTTCCCTGTCCTGCTCTAACCCCCATGAGTCATAACTCTTGTACTCAGGGGTGACCATGTTCAGTCTCTTTGAAGCAATGTGCTGTCTTTCTTTGTGGTCTCCCATTTATCCTTCATGTCAGAACCAGGTAACAAGTTGTGTTATCTAATCTTTTATGGTTTATCTTTTCTTCTCCATATAGGGATTTCCAAGAAAATGAACATAAATATAATGTGACACAGGACAAAATGAGTAAGAACTTATTGACTGTTTCCCACTGCCGATACTCCTGTAATTCCCACCAGACTGACAAGAGTACATCATCCTTGATGGGGGAGGATGATGTTCCCAAGAATCTGAATGTGGCGAGGGAGTTCCCCACTGCAAAGAAATTGAGGGTCCTGGCTGTCTCCCCCATTCTCTGTAACCTTTATTCTCAGCCTTGCAAGCAGGGAAGGATTTTTTCTGCTGGCCTTCCTAATAGGCCCACCGAGGGTTCAGGCAGTTTCTCTAGCAGGGTTAGAAGTGCAGAAATCCAGTTTGTCAGGCAGCTGGTGATCTTCTGAATCTGGGACTGTGTTGCTCCATGGATATCCTCAAGGCCTTGAATCTGTACATTTCCATTGC